GGAACTCAGGGGGCTAAGGAAGCCATGCCGGGTTTAGGCTTCCTTCCATTCTGTTCTAGGAAAGCCAGGTGTTGCACATCTGGTACTGTCCAACTCTCCTAAGTCACCGATGGTTCCTCTTACTGTTCACTCTTGGATACCAGTGTATACCACAGTAACAATCCCTTTCCTGTCCAGGGGGAACTGCCACTGTGAGGCTGTCTCGTCATTCTGTGTAGACAGCTTCAGGGCCCGTCAGTAAGAGGGACCCCCTGCCTTCCACACCCAGCGTGCTGTTACTTCTCATGTTCTCTCCTGGTCTCCAGGCTGAAGGACGTGCTGTGTAAGAATCTGAAGAAACACACACCCACATCTGATGGCGGGGAAAGGAAGTCCACAGAGAACTGTTTCAGGTTGTCATCCAAACTCCTCTTCCTCCCAGCTCTGCATTGACATCGACCTTGCCCTTGTATCTAAAACAAACCCGAGCAGAACAAGGACCCAGAAACCTTTTCCCCTTCTAAATTAGTGTCTTCGTGAATTGCGTTTTACAACTTATCAAAATGGTGCTTCGACACTGCTGGTAAACAGGTTGGCAACAAAGAGAAACACCCCCTCAACTGCACCAGGTCGCCGGCAGGTGAGAGGAGCCAGCCGCTATGCCGGTACCTGAGCAGGAAGATCTAGCTCCCTGGAGGCTCTCCCTTGGTAGAAGGGAGAGTCCTAGTGAGTGCCACCTGAACTCAGGTTCTGAAACACTCTTCTGTGCTCTCTCTGACCCAAATTTTAGCACCAGTTTTTTTCCATTTCATTCTCTAGGATTAAAAGATTTTTAAAAAATCCAGTGTTCACAGGCAAGTGACATATGCTTTAAACTTGTTGCCATCCTTAATTTCTTCATGAACTTTAATTAAAAGACTAAAATTCCCATTGCTCTTTTAAAATAGATTCCTGCCCTGGGCCCCAAAGGTCACTGGCAAGGACTTTTATTTCCCCATAGATGACAGTGATTTGACAGTGATTCTTTCATCTTCCAGGTCATGGTCAGGATCAGGTGCACGTGGTCATCCCCATACCTGGACACGCAACTGTCCAGCTGCCGCTTCCCCTGAGGCACCTTGCTCCCTGCGTCTATGGAATCTTTGGCTTTGTTGTTGCAATGCGTGGTGCACTGGGCCAGGCGGTCCTGGAACTTCTCCAGCTCTTTGATCACCAAGGCCTGGGCTTGGGCCAGAGGTGCATGGCAGCGCTCGACGCATTGGTGCACCTGCTGCATGGACGCCTGGTTGTCCTCACAAGAGCCCATGCTGCACCGGAACAGGAGGTCCAGCATCTTCCAGAGGTTCTCTTGCTCCAGACTCTTTACCGTGGAGTCCACCTCTTCCTGGACCCAGAGCTGCTGCAGCTCAGCCATGGCTACCCAACACTGTGCGGGGCTGGCGCCCACCTGGACCTGGCGCTCGGCCCACCCCCAACGTGTGAATGTTCTGGCTGCCTCTGTGTTTCTGAAACTGTAAGGCATTATCAGGATAAAAGAAGCCACATGTGTTAATCAATATCAGCCCAAGAAGATTAGAGAAAATTTACATAGAACTACATGATGCCAGGTGTCTTCATATCTTCAGCTGATTAACATCTGAAAACAACTGGCTTTGTATTCCACTTCTCCTTCCTCCATTTCCCTTTAAAAGAATAAACTGGAACCAGCAGTTGGTATAATGGCTATGTCGCTGGACTCCCATGCAGTTGACTGTGGTTCGAATCCCTAACCCGGTGGCTTGAACTCATGCCAGACGTGTGTGCGTGTGTTCCCAAGATCCCAAGAGGAGAATGAAGGAGAAGGTATTGTGGCATGGCCATCCCCTCTGGGGGGTGATTTCTCACTTTCTGTCTCTCTGTCTTTCTGGTGAGTGCATGCGCCCTATCGCAAAAAAAAAAAAAAAAACTCTCCTAAATAAATAAATAAATAAATAATAAAAGAATAAACCTGAGAGTAGTTTGGGGTCACAGCTGCCTCCATCAGAGAAGTTGAGACCACCCAATCCCGACTTTTCTTTACTTGTATGTCTTCGTGCGTTTATTTTTATGTCTATTTTCTAATTCATAGCCGCTCCTCCTCAAACCACGTGTTCGTTCAGCTGTGCAGGACACAGCAAGTGGTGCCCAACATGGGGTCTGAGTATGGGGGAAGTACAAAGAGTCAGGCAAGTGGACACTCCTTGAGTTTGGCCAGAGATAATAGAGTAAGGTAAGGATTTGAAAGAGTAAAATAAGAAGGAGAGTAAAATAAGGAGTAGAGAGAGTGAAATAAGAAGTGAAGACAGTAAAATAAGGAATGAAGAGAGTAAAATAAAGAATAAATAGAGTAAAATAAGCAACTAATAGAGTAAAATAAGCAATTAGGGGCCAGCAGGTGACATGGTGGTTAAGGGTGTTGGGCTCCCACATGGCCAACTGCAGTTTGAGTTCCAGCCCAGGCAGCTTGCTTTCTCACTTTCCTTTCTCTTTCTCTCTTACTCTGTCCCTCTCTGGCCAAATTAAAATAAATAAATAAAAACTAAGTTCAATAAAATAATTCTTCAAAAAAATAAGCAACTAATAGAGCAAGAGAAGGAGTGGATTTGATTACAGTTGCGTATAAAACGTGGGGACACAATTATCTAAAGAGAGAGAGATGTATGTTTAAATGTCTTATATGTTATAAGCTAGGGGTGGTAAAGTTAGCTTCAAGTAGTTACATCATTTCCTGGATTTTGTACAGGAAACATGACCCCTGGTTCCAGGAGCAGGAAACAGCTAATAAGGAGACCTGAGACAAGGTCAGAGAACAAATCAGGAAATGATATACAACAGAGAGTCCTGACTGGATTCCCTTTTTTGCCTTCTCCCTGTGGAATTTAGTTAAAGAGTGCTTTGAGACAAAACGCTCCAGAAGAACCCAGAGCTGGCTTAGTAACTCGACTAAAAAGCATCCTGTACAAGTGTATCTCCCTCCTACCTAAGTAGTCAGAGTCCATGACTACATGGGAGTTCATCAACATAGCCATTACGCTAACTGCTGGTCCCAGCATCATGTTTAATTTAACATGGTTGGTTTAATAAAGCAGCTGATATTTATGTATTCTGCATTAAATGTTACATCGTAGGTATCTGACCAACAGGAAAAATGGATTAATGACTAACCTCTTTAATATTTTGTTCCTCACAGGTAATCAAGATATAATAGCTAAAGAAAAGCTTTAAGTGTTTTTAATAAGATTGATTTTTCTAAAATTCAATTTTTGGTTCTCTTCTGGTTCAGTTATAAAAATTATTACTAAAAGTGATAATAACAAAATCTTGGTAAAGGAAATTTTTATATGAGATCTGTATATTGGTCCTTGGGTTGTTTTATTTCTCTCTGAAAGTCATATCTGACTACTATAGTCTGTCATGTATTCTGTTTTTGGTTTTAATGCCAACAAATACTGAGTTAACTCTTTTTCATCCCTAAGGTACTTGAAACTTTTTTTTTTATTTCAATTTATTTATTTTCATTCTTTCACTATACATCATTACAACATACAAAATGAGATTTTCCATCCAGAGTACACTGTATGTTGTCTCAATCAAGCACATCAACAAACATGTTATTGTCAGCAAATGATCTTCCATTTCTTGTTTTCTGTATGTTTTGCTTTTTTCCCCCCATCCTTGGTTCCCTATCTCTTACCCTCTGCCACCTCCTGTTCTCCTCCCACACTGTCTCTGGTATCTATGTTTGCTTTCTATACTGTT